TGCACCTATGTTGTTTCTGGCAGGTTGAACATCCACACTTAGTGTATTTCCTAATACACTATACACTAAGGTCAAGGACTTGAGGTCAAGGATTGTATTTGAATTACAGCTCCTCCCACTGCCATTCCAGATGACCTTCCTCTCCAATCTTGTCTTCATGACAAAGGAGAGTAGGCTTTTCTCCACTAGACTGATCAGAACCCACATGATAGAGGTAACATAGTGTTCCAGTCATCTAAGTTATTCCAAGGGATTCTGGCCTTTTATGCTCACCTAACATGGACCAGTATTTGGTCCAAATCTATAGTAGCCCAATCAGAAACCTCTTAGACTTTCCTTAGCCATTGAGTTCAGTGTTTCTGGTGAGTGCTCATACCAATAAATTCAGCCCAATCCAAAAGTCTGTCCTGCCCTCTTTTATGAAGCACTCTCAAAGTTCAAACTCAGCTTTTTGATACAACATAGGAAACAAGTCTTGAAATTCCTTAGGGAATCGTCTTCCTTGCTCTGAATCTGCATGTTATCTTCTGGGCCATGTTGAATTGAACTCCGATTTCCTAAGTGAGCGTGAAGAGCGGTACGTGGGATGAGCTGTGAACTTTCTCATGCTCGGGAAAACGGCATCGTTGGGGATGCGGGGTGTAGAAGACAGCGTGTCCGAGGGCACAGGAGGCTCAGGGCTTCCCACATCCTCTGCGTCCTTCCAGATATTCCCAGCCCCACGGATTCTCCCTCTGTCTCAATGCTTTCCATTCATACATGGTGTTCTCTTGACTACGCAGGGAGGGCCTGCTGTGGCTCGGCATTAGCGAGGGCCCCCTAGTGTTCCCATTTCCCACTGCAATTGTAATTGCAGCTGGTTTTAGCAAATAAAAGGACCATTTGAAGCTAATTTGCCAGGAAAAACAGAGCCAAGAAGAACCTTGTCCTACCTGAAAATTGAGAGGCTTCCCTCAGTTCAGAAAGTCTAGACTGCATCTGTCTATCTCTCTCTCTGTATATTTGAAATAATTGCTTTCCCTCCTTTGCCTTATTTCTCAGCCAGGATCTGGGTCTCTCACAACTTTTTAAACCCTGCAGGCTTGTCCTGAAAATTTATGTGAGCTTCATGTACACACGAGAGGGCTGACATTTGGAAGTTTTAAATTTGTCACCCGTATGTTGAACCAACAGGACCCACGTGGTATAAACAGAAAGAATATTTATCACTGGGTCTTGTGTCCCTTTAAATTGAATTGGAAGGTGAAGTTCTAGCCTCAGGGAAAACTTGGGCAGTCCCATGACTTTTGTCATCACACTTAGATCCTAAAAGTCCCCTAACCACTTGAAGTCACAGAAGAACAGAGTTTTAATTCAGAAATATTAATAGAACTACCCAGGGGATCTAAGCAGCTTGTCTATAGACTTCACATCCTGACTTTCTCCCCCAACCTGGTTTCCCTGGTTAAGATGCAACTCTCCAAGCCCAAGACCCTGCGAGAGGTGGGTTGTTAGGATTAAGAAACTTCTCTAAAGGACAAAAAAGTGAATATTTTAGAACGTGTGGGTCATGCAATCTTTGTTGTAATGACTCAACTATGTCATGGGACAAAAGCCACCCAGCCAATTGGTGAACAATTGAGCGTGGTCATGTTCCAGCGAATTCATGGTGCAGGCACGGGCCGGATGTGGCCTGTGGCTCACATTACACCCACCCCTCGATCAGATCAGTGCATAGAGAAAGAGAGTGGTGACCCTGCCTGGACTGGGGTTTTACCCAGGGGCAGAAGCGGAAGAAAACCCAGCGAAGTTATTGGTAGCCCACAGGCTAGGAAAGAGAGGAACCTGCTTTGTTCGGGAGAAGTCACGACTAAAAGTTTAGTTCTGGAATTTGAAGAAAACCCAGAAATTCAAATTGGGAAAGGATCACCTATTTTTTATTTTTATTCTTAAATAGCAGAGTATGATGCTCAACACAAACGAGGCGGAACAGGAAGTCCACGCTGCAGTGTGTTCATGATCCCCTGCCATTGTCAAGGTCAGACGGTCCCACCATCTGTGTAGTGCCTTTTGGGCCACTATGTCTTCCAACCAGTGGACTCCCCTGACTGGGCACCACCCTCACTTCCATCTTTTGCTTCATGAAAAAGTGGTTCACAAACCAGTTTGAATATGTTGCGGACGCTCCAGCTTCCCGGGAGCATTTTCCCAAACTAGGCAGGCCCTGGGCCAGAGTGCTGGGAAATCAACATCCCCAGGAGCAACCCTGGGGAGTGCAAAGTAAATACCCCACCCCGGACTCCTGGAGTGGGATAACAGGTGTGACCCACACTGTTTCTCAGTTTCCTAGCAGTTTTGAGCTCCAGATGCTCCCCGGGGAAGGAGCTTGGTGGTGTGCCCTTTGCTGGCATCTTCCTGTCCCTTCCCCACTCCCTGCTGGAGTTCCTTGCACTTATCAATACCATATAAACCCTTGGCTCTCATACCCTTGCCCAGGCACTGCTCTCGGGAGGACCCAACCTAAGCAGAATGTCACTTTCTCTGCGTCCATTGTGAAACGTCTTCATTCTGCTTTCTGCAGCAGGGTCCCTGGGTCACCTGTCACATTTCATTTCGGTCACTTGAGTCAGATGGGTCTCTTTCTCTGAACAATGAGTGAGTTTTCTAGAAACGGGCCTTGTTTGATTTTGTTTGCATCACCGGCATTTCCCCTGGCCTGTGGCACAGTGTTCAAGGCATGTGTGGGCTGACTACAGGAAGCTGGTTGCGTAGGTAGAGTGGAGGTGAGGGGGGCGAGTTTGAAGGGAATAGCTACACTACTTACCACATGGAGCAGCCACTAGCTTCACGTGACTATTAAAATGGAATAGAAACTGCCCTGGCTGGTGTGGCTCAGTTGGTCAGTTGGTCGGGCATTGTTCTGTGCACCAAAAGGTTGCCAGTTCTATTTCTGGTCAAGGCACATGATTGGATTGTGGGCTCAATCCCCAGTGGGGGTGTGCTGGAGGCAACTGATTGATGTTTTGCTCTCACACTGATCTCTCTCTCTCTCTCTCTCTCTCTCTCTCTCTCTCTCTCTCTCTCCCCCCCCCCCATTTCTCTGCCTAAAAAATCAATTAAAATAGAAAAAAAAATTAAATTTTCAGTTCCTCAGTCACACTGGCCATATTTCAAGTGCTCGTAGCTGCACGTGCTGGTAATGAGTACACTGGATGCTGCAGATGTGCTGGGTTGGGGAGCAGAATGGAGCACCCTGAGGTCATGATGTGATTGTGGGCAGTTTGTGCGGGTCACAAAGCTCCTAAAAGCCTTCAGGGACCAGGGGAGTATCTAAATAAGCACCTCTATCTGGCACTGTAATTCCCTAAGGGCAGACACTACTTCTCAATGAAAGTCTCTCTCTCTCTCTCTCTCTCTCTCTCTCTCTCTCTCTCTCTCTCTCTCTCATGTATGATCTTGGTTTTTGATTTTTTTTTTCAGTCAACCATATATCACTCCTGGTGCTTTGACGTCATGCTGTCTCTTGGCCAAGTTCTTCTCTGGGTGCTCCTGCCCCCTCTCTTCCCAGCTGTTGCTCTTTTGTTGCCTCCACCCTTGCACTTGTCCCCTAACTTATCTCCTGCATGGTGCTGGGACTTCCCCTCCATCCTTGACGTGTGACCTGATCTATCTTCCTAAGGCACCATGTGATAATGTGCTCAGAACCTTTTACTAGCTCCCCTTGCCTTCCCAACAATTTCCTGCTTTGCCTGAAGTTCATGACCCTTCCCGGCCCACCGGTCCCACCCTTCCCTCCACACATGTTCATGCTCTCCCCTCTCATCTTCGTACTGGGCATTTTTGGCTTAAGGTGCCTCTCAAATCCTCTCCCTTGCCAAGCCTCTTCCTCCTTCATAAACCTGCTCAAAAGCCACTTCCTCAACAAAGTCTTCCTCTCTCAGACTCCCCCTTCCTGGCCCAGGCATAGCATCGAGTGTGTTCCTCTTTGCGCTGGTGTTATTTATTTCTGTCTTACACCCCTATTCAAAGAAAGGTTTCCTGGAGGCAAGGATTGTGTTTGTCTTATATATTCTGCATCCTTCCCTTAGCTGAAAGCTATGGTTGTGCATTCTGTCTACGTCACCTCACACACAATCGTTGAATGAGCGGTGAGCCAGGCATTTGGGAGTACAGTATCTGTACATTTCAGGGCTAAGAAGTGTCTATGAGCAGGCCTTTCTTCTCTATACCAAAAATGCCAAATTGCTCTTCTGTTGAGTCACTCATGGGAAATGTGGTCATTTGGTGCGAATAGAAAATCAACTCAGTATTAGAAATGATCATAGCAGGTGTAGCATACCATTATGTTGCTTGAAAGTACATAGCCATAAAATGTAAAAAATAATAATAATAATAATAAAAATAACACTCAACAAACAAGCCCCAGCCGGTCTGGCTCAGTGGATAGAGTGGTGGCCTGTGGACTGAAGGGTCCCAGGTTCGATTCCGGTCAAGGGCATGTACTTTAGTTGTGGGCACAACCCCAGTAGGGGCTGTGCAGGAGGCAGCTGATCCATGTTTCTAACTCTCTATCCTTCTCCCTTCCTCTCTGTTAAAAATCAATAAAATATATTAAAAACAAACAGCTTTTTATCAAGCAAGGAAAGAGCTGGGCACCGTTAGAAGTAACAAAATTGATTTATTGTATTTTGTGAAATACATTTCATTCATGTCAATAGCTCTCTGTATATACAAAGCTTTGCCTGTTTGTAGCTGCATATACTAACTCTAACAGGTGCGTTAAAATGTATGCCAACTCTTCACAAGCAAAGCTCTGCTTTTCAGGGTTGACAATACGTAAAATGGCCAGCCATTGGCCTCTGGTAATGACTCTGTGGTGCATAGCTATACCGCAACCGTTGTGCCTATATTTTTAATGTCCTCAAGAGCTTTTTCAGCGTTCAAAGCACGGATGCCATTGGCTCTACGCGTTCGCTTCATGTGCCCAGCGCATTTTCTGCAGGCAGCTTCCTGCATCCGACCTAGAATACAGCAGAGAGCTCATGCTCCCCTGTCGACGGGGACACCGAGCTGGTTCTCTCCAGTTTCTCGCTGGGCAGGAGCAGGTGGCATTTGCCCAGGCGCAGCACCACCTGCCTGTGGAAGAAGTGGCGCAGGTACTGCCGGAACCTCTCTCCCACGAAGGCGTAGATGATGGGGTTGACGCAGCAGTGCGTGTAGGAGATGACCTCGGTCACCTGCAGAGCAGTGTCCAGTTGGTTGCTCCGCGCACAGTTGATGTCAAAGAAGGCCTCTTGAAAAGTGGAGAGGAGGACCACCAGGTTGAAGGGGGCCCAGAAAATGAAAAAGACCACCATGATGACAAAAATGAGCCGGATGGCCTTGTGCTTTTTCCTGCTGGGGCATCGCATCAGCGTCTTGATGATCCCGGAGTAGCAGACAACCATGATGAGCAGGGGCAGAGCCAGGCTCAAGAGGTTCATTCTCACGGCGTAAAACCGCCTCCAGGTGTCCTCCTCGCCCTCGGGGTACAGGGAGCTACAGAACAGCTTTCCAGACTGCTCCTGGGCCTTTTGGAAGATGAATTCCGGGAGGGCCGCCAGCCCCGCCAGGACCCACGTGAAGACACTGCTTACGATGCCAATAGTGACGGTCCGGGTCCGCAGGGCAAACACGGCGTGGACGATGGCCAGGTACCGGTCTAAGGTCAGCAGGATGATGAAGAAGATCTCCCCGTATAAGCCGACGCTGTAAAGGCCCGAGAGCAACTTGCACATCCAGTTGCCGAACACCCACTCATTCGACTTCAGGAAGTGGATCCAGAAGGGCAACGTGAAGAGGAAGAGCAAGTCACAGATGGCCAGGTTGAGCAGGTAGATGTTGGTCAGAATGCAGAGGCGCCTGTATTTGGTGAGGATCACCACCACCATCACGTTGCCCAGCAGCCCCACCCCGAACACCAGGGCGTAGAGGGGGGGCAGCAGCCGGGTCCCCAGCACTTGGACATCCACTTTGTCACATGGTGCGGAGAACTCATACTCGTAGGAGGTGGTCTTTTCCTCCATCTCAGGCAAGACTTCAACTGTGGTTTCCATGACTCTGGTCCCTGCAGTGGAAGAAGCAGAAACAACCCCACAATTACTCAGAGGCATGGTCACTGTGTCTGAATCCTGGTTGGCTTGTTACTTACCCAACAAAACCTCTGAATCCCAGTTGGTTTGTTATTTACGCAACAAAACCACGTGTGATCAACAGCCCGTACGTTGGCCAAGGTTCTTCAGCGTGTCCATCAGAGCTGCTGGGAGGGAGGGGTCAGAAATGCCAGCTGGGAGATTGGAAAGTCAGCATGGCCGCGAGGAGAAAGGAGACAGGAGGGCTGTGGGTGGTGGTGAAGACGGGGGATGTTGATTTCGGAAAATACTTGAAAGAAGTACAAAAACAGGAAAACACAGGCCGGACAGCAATGACAATGACAATAATATAATCGTTATTCCTGTCACTGTAACGTTTAAGATAGTTTGCATTTTATGTTTTTCGGTTTATATATGACTTTCAAAATCATCTTACCTGTTTAAAAACTAAATGTTTTTAATAGTAATAGTGATGGTTATTATTTCAAAAAATGACCTCTCTCCCTGGCCTCATGATAATGTGCTGTTCACCAGAGCTAATGGGGAAATTGAACCTTGAAGAAATTTAGTCATTTATCTCAAACTCTCTGACAAGTGAATACAAAGTTCAGGTTAGCTCTGCCTGGTGTGGCTCAATTGGTTGGAATGTCATCTCATTCAGGTTATGGGTCCGATTCTTGGACCAGGCACATACCCAGGTTTCCTCCTATTGGGGTGCATATAGGAGGAAACCAATTGATGTTTCTCTCTCACTTGGATGTTTCACGCCCCCTTCCCCTCTCTCTAAAATCCAATGAAAGTGTGTCCTAGAGTGAGGATTAAAATTTTTTTTTTTGCCCAGCCAGTGTTGCTCAGTGGTTGAGTATTGACCTATGAGCCAGGAAGTCACAGTTCAATTCACAGTCTAGGCACAATTCCCAGCAGGGGGTGTGCAGAAAGCAACCAATCAATGACTCTCATCATCGATGTGTCTTTTTCTCTCTCCCTCTCTGAAATCTATAAAAATCTATTTTAAAATATATATACATATATTTTTAAGTTCAGGCTAGACCAATTTTCTATGACCAATTTTCTCATCACTAGAATCATTGCAGTGATTTTTAAAAATATATATATTTTATTGATTTTTCACAGAGTGGAAGAGAGAGAGAGGGACAGAGAGTCAGAAATATCGATGAGAGAGAAATGTAGACTCAGCTGCCTCCTGCACACCCCACACTGGGGATGTGCCCGCAACCAATGCACATGTCCTTGACCAGAATCGAACCCGAAACCCTCCAGTCCGCAAGCCAAAACTCTATCCACTGAGCCAAACCGGTTTCGGCTGCAGTGATGTTTTTAAGTTTAACTTTTGATGATGTAGATATTAGATTTATTACTATTATAACAATTACAGTTATAAACAGTATTAATCTAGGTTAATCCCCTTTCTACTCTTCATAATATTGAGACGAGCCTGCCATGTAGGCCAATGGGATGGATTCCTTATCAGATTTGATATTTTTAAGATCAGGATCCCCAGGGTCAGTGCCTGCTTTTCTTACAATTACACTTCTCCGGAGAAAAAGGAAAACTAGGCAAGGAGGGAGTCCTAGGAAGGACAGTCAGTCCCTGCACTACTGCCCTGGAATAAATTCTGCTGACTTAATCCTCTCCATGCGGAGGATGGGGAAGGACATGGATGTTTAAGTCAATGCACGTTTCTCAAGGCAAGTCCTAGGAAACAATAACTGGAGCCAATGGCCAGCACTTGTCTTTGCTCCCTAACAGAGCTCTGAGCCCCCAGAGATCTGCCCTGCCAGGGTTATGTGGGTGGGAGCTACCGCAGCTGGTCCTGGCCCTTCCTCTCTCCAGCTGCAGGCCTGGGACAGCCCTCACCTCAGAGCCTCATTAGCTCATCTCGAAAATAAGGATCATAATACTGCTTGAGGTTGTGGTAAGGACCAGATGAGACAGTGCCCATGAGACCACATGTGAAACTCAGAACAGCTGTGACATGGGGAAGAAGCAGAAGTGAAAGAAAGGCAACGAGAAGCCATTGCAGATGAAATTAGGAAAACGGGGCCTCTGTGGATCAGTTTCCAGGGCCCTGTCCCAGTACCTCAGTGACACAGGCAGCTTTTCCAGGTGGAACACGGAGGAATGGCGGATGGATTGATCTTATCAACGTTATTATTCCTAATGGCATTTTCCACAGCATAATCCACAGTTTTTTCTTTCTGAGAAAAAACCCACATCGCTCTACAAGCACAGACAGCGCCCTTCTCCGCTTTAATGTCAAAGGGGTAGAGCTGCCTGCTCCAGGCAGCAAAGGTGAAAGGTGTAGTAGCCTCTATTCAGCGTTAATTCTTTGTCTTTTCTTTCCTTCTCTCCCAGACCGATCTAAAAATAAGTCCATTTAAAATTTTTTCTTGAAGTTTTGTTCAACTCGACGACTACTGTGCCTTTAAATCATGTGTCACTTCCATAAAACCAACATGAACACTGGAGAACCTTTAGGGGGCACTAGAGTGCAACGCATGGGAGAGCGCCGCACAAGCAGATTCTAGAGTCAAGAGCCAAGTCCAGGATTACTAGTCACAGGGGGTCAGAAATATGAAAACTGGCCTCTTATAGTTAGGTGTGTTTTTCATCTGTGTACACAGTCCTAAAGAAAATGAATACTTAAATCTGAAATAGTTAGTAGGTTTGAATTAGGCTTTTAAAAATGGCTTTTTTAATAGTTTGGAAAAATAAGACAATAATAGGAAAGAAACAAACATCAACAATAAAGAAAAGCAAAAAACGAAAGTTGAAAATCTTGCCATGCTGAGTTTAGCACTAATATTAAAAGTTCTTCTTACGATGTGTATACATGGGTATACACTATACCAAAGAGGAGGAGGAGGTGGAAGAGGAGGAGGAGGAGGAGGAAGAGAAGAAGAGATGATACTCCTTTAACTGGTTTGCTAAAATTGCTCATCACACAGCTCCTCTGTGCATGCAAATGGAGCCTTTTTAGTGTCCAAAACTATTTAGATCTCTGTTACCAGCTTTGCACCCACTGCGGAGCCAAAAAAAGAATTCACAAATTTGAGTTAAAGTGACTTAAACAGCCTGGCGACATATAGAGAAATTAGTAAAGCCTAAAGTTGTTGCCAGCTCATAGTTTCAGTTTCTTGTCTTCTCCCATTGATCCTTTCTAGACGAGCAGTGGAGCCCGGCTGACATGTGGATGAGCATTGAACTATGAACTATGAACTATGACCCATTTCATTTCCCAGTCAGGGCACATGCCTGGTTTGCAGGCTGGATCCCCAGTGTGGGGTGTGCTGGAAGTAGCCGATCAATGATTCTCTCTCATCATCGATGTTCCTATCTCTCTCTCCTTCTCCCTTCCTTTCTGAAATCAATAAAATATATATATATATATATTTTTTTTTTTTTAAATACAGGGTTGAGGTGACCTAGTTCCAACCTTTTGTAGCTAATGACATCATGATCCATGGATTTTTGGTCCTCCCTGGGCACTGTGGCCTTTCCCAGGTAAAAGTGTTCCCTTAGCTCTGGCTGCAGGAGACCTCATTATCATGTTGCAGTAGAAAATGAAGTTGCAGTAGAAAATGAAGTTGGCTGTGAAGTTAACATATTGCGGACGGATCACGAGAATTCTCTTGTCTCCTGTTCTAAGGCTTGTGACCAATCATCCTTTAAAAAGATATTAGCTTTTAAGAACATGTAATAAATAACTTCAAAATGCACCGGGTATTTAATTTTAAAGCATGTCTTTAACAGTTATGTAAAATGTTTTTTGAACTCATTCCATAGAAACTTACCTGGCCGCTGGGTAAAGCTAGTAATAAAACTACTGGTTTGCTGTGTGCCAAGATCCCGTAAGAGGCAACCCAGAGGGGTGCTGGTTCATCATAATGAGCTGGTGTGGTGGAGATGGGGATAAGTGAATAAGAAGCTTATCCCGGAGGGGAGAAGTCTAAAGGGAAGATGTCCCAACCAGAGAGAAGAGGAAGGCTGACTGCTAGGTTAGGGAGTCCCACTAAAACAGGGTAGCCAGGGACCTGGCCTTGGGAGCGTGGACTCTCCTGCCTCACATTCGCGGACTTTGGTGAGGCAAAAGCTGGCAAATCAGAGGGTCGAGGGAAGGGATGCTTATCAGAAATTTGAGTGGACGGTGTGGTCTGGAGAAGCCTGAAGCCAGGAGTGGGGGTTCCCACAGGCCCATGGTTTGGGCACCAAAATGTTAAGTCTGCAGGGACAGGAGCCAAGTAAGGGAAGTTGTGAGAGTATTATTGCATTCTCTCACAATAAACAATTGTGTGTGGGTGTCAGCCCTAAGGGGGTGGTAAGGTTCTCTTTTCTAGGGTAGAAGTATGCCATATAGGGTCAGGGTGTCAAGCAGAGGGAACAGAGGGAGAGGAGGGCAGGAGTCATGCTGGGAGGCAAGGGAAGAGAGTGCACAGGTCAGTCAGGAAGCGAGTTGTTCTTATCTTGCAGACGGAGGATGTCTGCTCATCTGCTCCAAGCTACGGAAAAAGGCTTATAACAATGTCTGAGCAGAAGAGACTAGGGGTAGTTCATCCTAACAATATACAGGCAACCTCCCTTGTTAGTGTGGAATATTTAGCAAATACCTCTCCATATTGACAAGCATCGTCTTGTATTCATGGGTTTACATTTTAATGAATTTTGCAAAGCTGAATGGAGTATAATCATCTAGGATTTGGAGACACTTCTTTAGAAAACATATTTAGGTTTAGAATGCCATTTTAATGATCACAAAAAGTAAATTTTAATGATGACACTCAGTGCTGGTGAGGGCGCTCCCAGGAACCTGGAGCACCGAGTCGGGTCCCGGGTTCGATCCCTGTCAAAGGGCATGAACCTCGGTTGCGGGCACATCCCCAGTAGGGGTTGTGCAAGAGGCAGCTGCTTGATGA